GGATCCAGCCGTTACATCTATAATTTTGTTCTTCTAAATGTAGCACGTCTCTACTTGAGGATGTTGTGACCCCCAACACAAATTGTGCATTCCAATAATCAGCTGAATGGTTAGCCAATCAGAAGAAAGTATTGCTGATTTGGTGTTCATCCAATATTGCATGACAGTAAATCATTCATTAAACACGCAATGAGATTTATAGGAGGAGATATTACAAAAACACCAGGGGAGCCTACAGCCTCAATATTTAGCTTACAAAATGAATACAATTAGTTCCTAGAAATGTGGAGAAATATGTAAAGTGACCTATATAAAAAACCTTGTGTAGGACAATGAGTCTAATAATATAGGATTGTGGGTAGGACATAATGTGAATGGGGTAAGCCTAACATAGCATTGTGAGTAGTAAGATGTAATGTGAATTGGTTAAACCTAACAAAGAGTTGCAGAGAGTGACCTCGGATAAAGAATCTTCAAATTCTAACAGCAAAACTCATTTATACTACAACACTGACACAAAAAAAAAACTTTCGCCTGACTAGACCCACTTATCTAGTCTTTCCTACAAGTTACACAATGTATTGTGTTAATATTCAGTGTAGGTAGACTGCAGGAAATTGCTGCATCTTAGCATGTTAACCACTGAAGAATTCATTTCCATTATAGTTAAATAATCAAGGTATTTGTCTTGATTATGAGTCAGTTATAGAATTCTAAGTGAGCTGATGTATCAGTAGATCCTCTTATACAGGTGTCTTGGATGAAATATAATACTTTTTCATTAGGCTAAATGTTTCTAGTAACGGGCTAAAATAAAATTGGGTAGGTAGGGTTTTATATTACATGTATTTTACTTTTTCCAATGAGCTGTATTCTCACTTTATTGCTAGAAACATACCAGGTGATCAAAGTTTCACTACAGACGTGAAAAATGGCATCTAAATAGTTTTCATAAGTACTAATTATTCACTACATTAGAAAAAATAAATCAACATAACTAATTTAAAGAGAAATAAATAATTTCTCAGAAACAAGTTTTATAAGTTGAATTTGGCGTTAACAACAGTGAAAGACTAAACAATAAATGACTTACCTCTGTACAATCATCTTTAAGTAAACACATTAATTCCTGCTGAATAACGGCAACATTAGAACCTAACATTTTGGCAACCTGAAAAATAATACTGTTAATTTAAATAAAAATCAACAACAAACATTAAAGTGAGAATATATAAGGTCATGTACTTTCAAGTTCTGTGTCATTTGGGAATGACATTGCTAAAGTACTCACACTCACAAATGTTTTATAATTTTGTTATAATTTTTCAAAAGTAATTTTTTAGATTGCCTCTACATAAGCTTGTATCAGCCCACACACATTAATGTACACCATGGACAATCATAGATTCCATGTTAACAACGTCTTACTCTCAAATACAATTCATTAACAAAAGGTCAATTGCCTCGTATATCTTTAGGTCGACCTTTCTACAAGCGTCAGGAACTTACCTCATGAAATCCACAGGACATTGTTCTACGTACAAGCTTACTAGGATCATCACACAAACTGGAAAACGTACTATAAAGTTCAGTTTTAAAGTTACGGGGCCCAGCAAACAAGACCATACACTGAAAGTAATAAAACGGTAATGTACTAGAAGAACAATCAACCTGCAACTGACTCCTACTACTCAACATCAAGTGAAAAATTTACTTCAAAACAAGCATCATTTACACACACACACACACACAAAAAATAAGAATCAGAATAAAATGATAAATTTTTATCTCATCTTTGTTGATTTCTATGTATGTCATGTTTACAAACCTTGCATTGGGACAGGGGCTGATCAATTCATGTATTGTGATTATTATTGTGGGAGGGAGGAATGAATAATACTGTTTTGATTTTGATTTGATTTAGTTCAATGCAACATCATTTTTTCATTACAGTCAATGGGAATTGTTATCACATGCTGCATTGTCATTTGCTCAGTATGTGCAACATAGCTCTAACTTCCTTAGGATACATACATGTGCAGAATAGTAAACAAATGCACATGTGTAAAGACAATACGACCACATTAATACTTCAGAAAGAGTGCATCAAGGTTGAATAAAAAGAGATTAATTTTTGTTGGGGTGGCTACCAAAAGCAGGTGAGCAAAGGTGGGATGTAAGAGATCAACGCATATTTTTTGTTGGGATGGCTTCCATTCCTGCCCCCTCCCCTCCAAACTGTAATAATAATCTACTTCTAACTAATCAAAATTCCAAGTTTCTCCTTACATCATGAACACATAGTTACTTACAGGAAAGTTGTAGGCAGCATCTTGTCTGCATTCGGCATACCTATCATCTTCCTCAAAGATATTAAGTACATTAGGAGTCTGAAGATAAAACAAAACAGTGTCCAATTACATTAACTACAAGTATCCCATTTCCTGCTTTGCAAACACCATCCAATAAAACACATTCAATTCACCTCAATTAGCAGTGTAATCAGATCTAAGATTTCAAAAGGCCACATAATTCCCATTTATTTACTGAGTAGTTTCACTGACATCAACATACCATACTTAAAATTGAAATTTAAAAAAACAACTTTACAGGACAGGTTGGAGAATAAAAAATCTGCCCTTATCAAGATGAACTTTCACAATCAGAAAATATCATTTTAGGCTCATCATATTTAATTTTTTTGAAAACTGCAATTTCCTTTTTTTATTACTTTCGCAATGCACAACTTTAACAATGCCTTCTTTAACTAAAATCTGCCTGTTTATGAGAGGTGCACATACCTTACAATTTGACCCATTGCGGTCACACTAAATATGGCCAAAAGCTACACTGCTGTATTATAAGCTGGTTTGTTCTATGGCATGATATATATAACCACTGGTAGACAAGCACACACAAAGATTCATGCGATTAAATGTTCAAAATGCACTCACCTGTCTTTCAAAACTTCTTGATTTACCATCTGATAAACCTATTACACATAACTTTCTATAAAAATTTAAAAACCATATCTTTTGATCCTCAATGAGGTTAACTGAAATAGACAACAAAGCAATTAAATTGACAAGATAAAGCCTGAGAACTCAAGCTTTTGAGATATATTATTTTTTTTTTTTTAGTGAATATATCTCAGCCAGTGGAATTGGCCTTCCCATTGAGTCTGTGACACACTCACCCAGGGTAGGGGTCGACCCTTTGACATTCAGTCTAAGATGAATTTGAACTCTGGTTTACCGATCATGAGTCTAAAGCAACAACTATTATGCTACAAGTGACTGGTTTAAAAAAACATTCATCGTTTGTTTTGATATTATTCTGGACACACTCCTATACATATAATTTATTTATGCCTCCAAGATTGGCCTCACTTTAGTTTCTACTTAAACATTAATTACTGTAGAGATTCTGTAAAATGAGAAGGGTGTGACAGACCCAAGCAGCTTAGACTGCATGATATCATGCATTATACAACAGTGCCTTAAAAGCAGGTCTTCTGCTCTGCTTGATACTAAATTAAGAACACTACTGTGTTCAGAATGCTAGATCCTTTTACACATATTTTACACTGAAGCAGCAGGATAGCGCCCTCTGGGGGTGACCACTCTTGTCACCAACCCATCAAACTTTAAGCAAAACTTTGTTCCTGCTAGCATGAACATTTCTGACAACAGATAACTTACAGTTTATAGAAACCTGTTCTTACATCTTACCTGATAAACCGTGACATAGCCTTCCAAACTGATGAGCAACACTGGGTAGAGTAGGGTCTTCTGTTTGCAAGGCACTCTCACAAAACCTACACATAAGTGGGATTATAGTGTGTACACACGTGTCTGTGAATAGGTAATACAGGATTAGTTCAAACTCTCTTTACACACAACTTTGAAGACTTCAAACTACCAGAGTGAAATGGGACAACAAATATAAATAAAAAGCCACCCATGGTTGTTTCCATGGAAATTAATAGAGTTACAAGTTCATGCTAGTTGCAATTTCTTAGATTTCATCAGTCATGATTTGGTCAATCAAGATTTCTTGGCAGTAACTTGTTTTGTCAGTCAGTTTTCCAAAATGTGACCATATTGAATTAAAATGAGTGCAATGACATTAGTAAAGTTATAACAAGTAAATGCATAATGCAGTTCTCGTCAATCGCAAACCACACAAGGAGCCTGAGCTCATTTTTTCCTGACCACCTGTATAGGAAGTAAGTAATAATACTTCTGCTAATACCAATGAATCATGTACAGTGACCCCTCGCTAAGTCGTGGGTGTTGGGATCCAAGTAAAAACTATGACTTGTCGAGGGTCACAACTTACTGAGAATCCACAAACACAGGTTTATTTATAGTATGTTTTTTTATTGGACAACATCACAGCGCCCATGTCCGCATAGATTCATCACATTGCAGAGAGTTTTATAAAGCTTTATCAAAGGGACCAGCCAAGAAGTACATCTGGTACCCCTGTCAACACCTCGAGTCAGGCAGCATCACCCTTTGCATCTCAGTAATTGACGACCAGTAGGTGTTAAGATGTCTCCTCCAGCCCTTTAACGGCAATACACGATGAGATGAAACATTTGTTCTTTTTAACTTAAAAACTGCCAGCAGAACACAATAGAATTTTTTGGAGCCGTCCAACCACCTGTGACATAGCCAAAACCATGACTTACTGAGGTGCGACTTAGCGAGGGTTCACTTTATTTTCTTTTACTAAGTAGGAATATGGCCACAATAAAGCATTCAATGAAAATGAATACGTGTTCTAGTATGTGAAATTCATGATTGTTGGTGAAGTGGTTGAGCAACAGTGGAGCGTTGGATTTGTTGCTATGGGCTTGGTTATGGTTTCTAGGCAACAGAAAGATCTTTTCATACTTGAACTACCATCAAGCATGTAGAAATTCTGTGGAAACACCTATTTTCTGGGTTATTGATGTATGTGGTTGCTATTTGAGTAAATGGATGGACTGACCAAGTAAGACCTTAACATGTCAAAAAATGGTAATATCATGCTTTGAACTTTACTATGGTTGGGTCATTAGAATGCCATGAGAACTTACAGTAGTATGTAAATTCATTTATCATACTTAAACTGCCAACCATATTGATGTCATACACAAATCTTTACATCGTGTATGATAGAGTTTGACTAACATAAGTCCAAGCTTTTCCAAGAAAATGCTGTTCAACCAAGCATGTGACCAATATGCAAATTAGTTACTAAAATCTATTCACTGTGAACAAAGTTGTATGTATTCACAATCCCATATTGACCAAAAATCATGAAAAATATCACAAGAAGCAGAAAATTGATCATTAATTTTAAAACAACACAATGTGCCGTAGCGGTCATGTGTGAGGTTCATACCAAGTTCGTTTATGTCAAATGTGACATTTCGACGTTACAAAGATTGTGGTGCTTTAATTCAAAACACATACCGGTAATTTTAACGGGATACTCTTTTTTTTCAAATTACCAGAAAAATCATGCTTGGAAGAAATTACCTACCACAAAAAATTCAGTGAATTCCAATCTCAAAAGTGTCTTTAGCAAATTGTATGTCTAAAAGGTTATGTTGAAGTGACCTACTGAAGACTCATGAATAGTATTCAGACAGTGTCTGAGATGGGAAATAATGTTTACAATAGTTGCCTTAATTCAATCATGTCATTCCACATAGGTAGAGTTTCACACAGCCTCTCACACATTTGGAAAATTAGTCATTATAGTAAAAAAAAAAATACTGTGAGCTGAACTCTTTAACTTCGCATATAAATGAAGTGGTGATTTTCATTCAGAATATTGGGGGAAAAAAGAATTCCCATTAGCCGTCTATAATCATGATGAGGTAAAGGAAGAAGACGCATTAGGGTAGATGTGAATGAAAAGATTGCATCACTACTATTCTGGAATATGCAAGACAATTTGGTTTACTGTATTGGTTCTTGACTGGCATGTGGGAAACACTTATATTCACTTACCATCGTCTAGAAGACTAAGCAGACTGACCACAGTTTCCAGAGCTACCTGCCTGACAAAGCTTTCTTCATCATTACTAAGTTCTACTAATTCAGGTAATATTGCACTTTTAGTAGATTCTAGACTGCAATTAGAAAATAAACAAACAACATAAACATGCATCAACTGCAGGGGTTTTATAAATATATTGATGCTCCCAAGTTCACTAAATTAAATGCATTATGTAACAAAATTAGTATTCATTCAAGTTGATTTTGTTGATATACTGGCTATTATTCTATGTCTGTGTAGTGCATTCCGTTCATTGATGAATGTACTTATAATACCTAGGACTACTACTATAAGTCAGCAAAAAAAAAAAAAAAGATTGATTATTCATCTAAAAAATAATATTGACAAGCTGTGAGTGACACAAAAAAGAAATGTGTATATGTATAGTGTTAATGACTTACCCTAAACCCCTGGCTACTGCATCTAACTGCCGACACATGCATCCCCTTACATCATAATCAACATCTTGACATAAAGACGTAACTAGGGGTAAGATTTCCTTTTTTATCCTATGCAGAGAAACAAGAATGCTTATGGAATTATTAAACGAATACAGATACACGTAGCTGTAATAGAATCGGGCCAAATTGACCAATTGGGTAATAATTTACTGCACACTGTCCATGGAAAAGACATTTTTCACATTAATCTGTAAGGTTAATCTGACAGACTGAGGTTACATTCAATGATTACACTCCCACTTTATATGAGATACAAGCTAACAGTAGATAGTCACTTATCACTGTCACAAGTTGTCTTTATGCAAAACCTTTTTTTTTTTCTTCTTCACAAGCTCAATAAAAATATTGGAACAGGTCCAGATGAAAATCTGTCAATTTGTTATTGTCGCTTGAAAGTAGATTTTCATTTTTATTTTCATTTGTCTTTCTATGCAATTTCAGTCATTATACATTTTAAAAAACAAACAAGTATTTATAAATTAGTATTTATAGCAAATATGATTATCCATGGCAAATACATTGCTAATTAAGTCTAAAGAAATAATTGTTCTGAAAAGTAAAATGTTCATTTTCATCATAAATTTGTTATATCCCTAATGCACATAAACATTAGTAAGACAGCAACCACAAAGAGACGAATTTCTACAGCAAAGTAGAACAATGCCCGCAATAATTAAAAGACAAATTATCAGAAGGAACAATTTTAGCAGATAAACTAATACATGTACATGCTTTTTGTGTCAAATATTGATGTAAAAAAATTGTATACTAATTTACATGAAAGTAGGTTGATGTTATTAGGTGGAAAGAGTCAGAAGACTCTGATCTTTAGCAAGGTTGATGCGGTAATTGAACAATAAACCCGGAAGGTAGTAACTTTACCCAATTAAATTCACATCACTGGTTAGCATCCCTAATAATACCAAAAGCTTTATTAGGTTCTAACATTTCCAACCATGTTATAGCTAAGTGCAATTTAACACAGGATGCGTTTTATTCTGAAATTAAATTGTCTCTGTATACTGACGTTTTTACACTCTCATTATGTTATCAGATCTTGCGAAGCAAGAAGAGCCAGAGGAAATTGGCAATCCTCTATTAGGGATACATCTTAAGGTGAATAACAAAACCTCAGACTCACATAAAGGAATCAAATTTGGTAGCAATTCTGCCCAGGATTTTACAACTAGATAGCCGTGACTGGACTGACTGTGAAAGCTGTCCCTTGGCAATTGCAACTGTAAGGATCTGAAAGCAAAAGCAAATAACTATGAAAGACAATAACATGAGAAAAATGTAGCGATAATAATCATTCCTGCTGGCAGTTTACAATAATTCCCATTTTAGAAGAACTAGGTTATTCTGCATGAAATCAAAGTGGTTCTGTATAGTCAAACTCAAATTCCTGTGTCAATCTCTAAAAATCTTTTTTTTCATGAGTGACTTCTAGAGTAATGGTATCAATGAACCAATTGTATTTCTTGAATTTCAAAGTTTGATCTTTTTGTGTGTTAATACTGACCCAAGGCAACAACCACTATGTTACTTATGACAAATTAGTTGTAGTACTAAATTCAAATCTAGTTCATTAAATCGGAACATAGTGCATTAAATTATAGAAAGCATCTCCAATCTGAGATGTCAAGTACTTTTAAGTGTATAGGTATTTTTTTCTTATAATTATTATAAGACATATTACAGGATATATTAGAGGATTCACCCTTGCACTGAATGACTACACAGTAATTTGCAGCATTCATCTATCCACATGTATAACAAATCAAATCAAAACTGCAACAATGTACTGAAAATAATTTATATTTGATCATTCAAGACACATTTCATACAGTTCACACTAACTATGTCACATGATAGTCCCAAAGCAGAATTCACATCAACGTCAATCTAGGCTGCCATATTATTGCTGAATAAAAAAATAAACGGCTAAAACATATTATTAATATATATATATCATAAGTATACAAATCAATCAAGTCTTAATTTGACTGGCTTCACAGGAAACAAGTTGTTCACATTCCTCAGTTGCAACTTTCACTGCAAATAGGCCCAGGTACTTAATTCAATCGGGTTTAACGACCAATTCAAAACAAGTTACGGGAGCAGCATACACTTCGCTGAGACCAGGACAGATACATCATAACATGTATTCTGCTTTGTTCTTCCATAATTATGTATTTGGTGTGTTGCCATAAATCACACCAGGAATAAGTAGGTACCGGTATGTGGATCACCGTTTCCCAGACTATGTATGTGTGATTGCTCTTTGGTGAACTACAGACAGTCTCTCATTAAACCAAATCTTCGCATACACTATACAGATTACTGTACTCTTTCAGCCAAAACTACTCTGATACAATGTAGTAATAAACATCAGTAGTTTAAAAGTTTAAAAAACAGGACATAAATAACAAGAAGCGCAGACAGGTTTTTAAAAACACTGCATCACTGTAGAAACCATTAAACAAGTAGAAGTTTATTTATATATTTATGTTGGTGAGCCACTGGCAAGTCTAGACATTGCAAATTAATACTGAAATGAAGAGACACTATGTCTATTCCAATATTCATCAATACCTAGTATACCAACACATCAGTGGTGATCAACACTGACAAACACTTATAAAGACACAATCAAAGCTCACAATTACAGCAATTCAAAAAACACTCAAAAAATATAAACATCTTGTGATTTCCCAAAAAAGCCTCACCTGCTTCTACTCTGAAGTGCCAAAAATTAACTCT